GGGAGAGAGAGAGAGAGAGAGGGAGTGAAAGAGAGAAAGTAAGAGAGAGAGAGAGAGAGAGAGAGGGAGAGAGAAAGAGGGAGAGAGAGAAAGAGAGAGAGAGAAAGTCAGAGAGAGAGAGAGTAAGAGAGAGAGAGAGAGAGAGAGAGAGGGAGTGAGAGAGAGAAAGTAAGAGAGAGAGAGAGAGAGAGAGGGAGAGAGAAAGAGGGAGAGAGAGAAAGAGAGAAAGAGAGAAAGTAGAGAGAGAGAGAGTAAGAGAGAGAGAGAGAGAGAGAGAGAGAGAGGAGTGAGAGAGAGAAAGTAAGAGAGAGAGAGAGGGAGAGAGAGAGAGAGAAAGAGGGAGTGAAAGAGAGAAAGTAAGAGAGAGAGAGAGAGAGAGAGAGAGAGAGAGAGAGGGTCGTGGGGTTGTCAGAGCTCATAAGACTTTGAGCTATGACTCCATTTGTGCGGCGGTCTTTGGAGCGTGAGAGGAGGTCGGAGGGATTGGACCGTCGATCTTGAAGGTCAGGGACGCAGGGCGGCACGAGATGGTGATGACAGGGACAAACAAAGACTGAGCCTCAGGTTGGTTGGACACAGTGACATGTCTAGTGAGGGGATCAATCCCCACCCTGAAGCTCGAGCATCGGACCCTTAATCACAACAGGCGTGCAGTGCCTTGGTGGCTTGAGTAATAAACCATCATGACATCATAGCGCCCCCTTAGTGTTATTTAATAAGGAAAACTTTTTCTTGGACACAAATACTTCCATTGAACATGTGTGCTTTTTCAGAGCTCTAACTCTGACCACGTCTTTTAAAGAATCAAGAGGTTTAAAGTAAAATCCCTGCAGTATATATGTTCTAACTCTTTACAACTGACATGTCATTTGAGCTGTTTTCATTGATACAGGTAACATGTTTACTTTACCAACTTTGCCGCCCCCTGGTGGTGAGTTATCCGGTTGCAGTCTGTCACAAGAATAATACAGCAGTGCATTAAAGTCACTTTGAACAGGATTGATGGACAGAAGCAAGTTGGACCGATTGAACTAGAGAAGAATCCAGAAACAAATCCAGAAAGACATTAAGAGAAACTCAGATGAGAAGGAAAACAGACAGACGGGGATATTACTTTTTTTTTAATCAGCTATTATTGTGAACTTCGAAGAGTTAAGACAGATGTGTGAAAGTAAATTTGCTTCAGATCAAATTTGAGGTACTTCCACTTTGCTTGAACATTTTCCTTTTAAATGATTTTTAATAAGAACTGTCCTCTGTCTTTCCACAAGTGAAAGTGTTGATAGTATATCAGTATTATTTTATCTCCTTACTTTATGCCTAGTATTATTTTACCTCTATTGTAATTTCTTGCTTTATTTAATTAATGTCAATATGTTTGTTTTTTAACTTTTTGTTATTTTTACTAATTATAGCTTACTACTGTTTTTGAGCTGTTGTAACAAAGAAATTTCCCCCAATGGGGGATGAATAAAGTCTATCTTTATCTTTCCTTATCTTTATGTTAAACCTATACTTTACCACATGTTATGGAGGAAATACTGTGTTAATGCATCGTTGGTAAATGGATTGTACTTAAGGTATAAGGAGCTCTGTGTGATTCTTCTCTGAATGTTTCTAGCTCTGGTGTCGAGGCAGACTATAACAGGGACCCTTGGGAAGTGGGAGTGTGACTGAAGATGAGGAAGAAAGACAGAGACTGACTGTGACTGTAACCGTAGCAACAATACTTTTTCTTCTTCCTCCTCCAGTGAACTGAAATCAGGGAATAAAAAGTTTATAATACTCTCTCTTGTGATGATTTCAGGATTCATCACCATGAGCGACAATAAGTTAAATATTATAATAAGTTATTTTATGTAGGCTAATTAAAGTATGTGTTTATTGTGTTGGTGGCTCAGTGTGATATTTCCTGTTCATTTATGCTGTTTTACTCAGCATCCTTCCCTCTCTCTCTCACATCAGCACCACTCTGCATCCTGCTGAGATGTTTTAACCATTAGGGGTGTGCAGAGAAGGGGGACGACGCCATCTTGTTTGTTTAGTGAGAGGAGGGGTGAAATACCAGTCCCCACTGTAGCAGCCACACCACAAAACGAGGACTGCATAAAACGCAAACCGGTGAGTCGTTGTGTTTTAACCGTAATGAAACGTTAAATCATGTCGGTAAAACATGTCAGACTAAACCCGCTGTAACGCTGCAGCTCGTCTGCATCATTCATCACCTGTTGGGACACAGAGGAGTATCACTGCAGTGTAATCTTCTGTTACCTGCACTGTGGACTAAACGTCAGCTGTTCGCTTATTTACTGTCTTCTCTAATGAATGACTTCCTCTGTTTCTGCATCTGCTGTAATGTTGTTTGCTCACCTGTGTGTGACGTCACTGCGTCCTGATGTTTTGGAGTGGTAACAGCTGTAACAGCTGTAACAGATGATGACAGTGATGCAGGTCATTTAACGTAACAGCCACCATGACCTGACAGATGTTTATTCACTGCACAGGGCTTTTAATTAATTAGATTTACCCAGAGGTGCCTGAACAAGTGGGTAGAGCCTATACTCTACAGTTTTCCCTCAAATATATATTTTTTGAAGGGGTTTAAATCTTCAAATTTCAAATCTTTATTTATTCTCCAAAGGACACTGAGGTCTTCCTTCATTTCCAATGACACAACAAACACTCAGAATCAGTGGGGGGTCTTGGTGTTCATGAGTTACTTTTAATGACAGCTGTCCTGTTCTATCGGAAAGGTATCCTTAAATGACTTCTTTCCCTGATTACCAACTCTATCCACTATCCTATCTCTACAATAAAGGTACAAAAAGTCTGGGGGCGGGGGGGCGTTGAAGTGGTGGGCCTCCCCCCTGATATAATGGTAGGGGAAACACTGCCTTCATAATGCATTGGTTTTGCAACTCAAGTAATGAATTATTATTTAGAAGTAGGTATACTCTCTGGAGACTGAAACATAAGTGGGTATAATCTGCACTACATTCACTTTGTGTGAATTTGACATTGTCACATTCTTCTTCTTCATGTTTTCCTGATGTTAAGTCAGTTTTGAATCTGACTAATGAATGTGTTTGTCTAAAGCTGAGAGGTTCTTTTATAAACATTGCTGCAGTTCTTCCTTCAATCTTGAACAGTGTGTGTTGTGTTTCTGTATTCCTGTTGTTTTCTTTTTCTCCAGTCTTGACGCCTCCCCCTCCCCCCTTTCCCCCGTGGCGAGACGATGTTTTATGCCCACTTTGTCCTCAGTAAACGTGGGCCGCTGGCCAAAATCTGGCTGGCGGCCCACTGGGACAAGAAGCTGACGAAGGCTCACGTGTTCGAGTGCAACCTGGAGAGCAGCGTGGAGAGCATCATCTCACCCAAGGTAACATCAACAATAACCCCGAACAACATAAGAGGGGAGGGGGATCGCATTTTATTCTTATGAAAATAACACTTGAAACTTTTACTGTGCACAATCATTTTTGCAATGATGCTCTCCTTTAGTTGTGTGTTATTATTCTCTTTCTTTCCATGTATATAAGTTGTACATCAGACTGATTTCATTTCTTAAAAACATCATTCTTGTGGCAGCATGCGCAGAGTTTACAAACTCTCAAATTCTCCTGAATACGCTTCCAGGTGAAAATGGCTTTACGCACTTCTGGCCATCTTCTGCTGGGGGTGGTGAGGATCTACCACAGGAAGGCCAAGTACCTGTTGGCTGACTGTAACGAGGCCTTCATCAAGATCAAAATGGCGTTTCGACCAGGTCAGGGATGACACTGTGCTTCGTAAAACCACCAGCAGTGAACGATTCTCTGCTTTCCTCGATTTGTTAATATGACGTGCAGTGTTAATGAGAGATGAATGTTTGCTATATATTTATGGAAATATTACAGAATAGTCAGAAACACTTCCTTTCATAATGATTTAGACATGTTACAGAGTTAAGAAAATATTCAGATTTCATGTTGGCCCTTAAAGAAACATGGATAAAATATGCCAAACTTTCCCAGCTGTCTTAAAAAATATATATATATTTTTTTGTAATGTTTATGTTCAAATCCCCCCAAAAAACTCTGGTTCATTGCTGCAACTCGGATTTGTAAATTGCTGTAACTCCTTGTAATCGGGGTGTTTCAGGTGTGGTGGACCTCCCAGAGGAGAACAGAGAAGCAGCCTACAATGCTATCACGCTGCCCGAAGAGTTTCATGATTTTGATCAGCCGCTACCAGACCTGGAGTGAGTCCTCCCTCCGTCTTACATCTTCCTCAGAGAGCGTGGGGGTTAACATAAGCCTGAATTATTTTTGTTCTAGGAAATCTTTACAAATTAAACATCGGCCTTAGTGATGACAGAAAAAGAGAAGAGGTAGCCTATATGTGGGGCCTATATTAGGCTCGTATCTTCACACTGCATGTAAATTTACCTGAAATGAGCGTGATCTAGAAACACAGTTAAGCAGTGAGTACAGTATGTTATTCTTCTTTTCTCAATTAAACAACTTTTATACACGAGGGGAGGAGTCAGCCGTCCTGCGATGTAAACAAAGTGAAGATAGGACTCTGAAAACTCTGAAAGCATCACAGACAGTGGGACTCGGGTGTTACACCCATTGTAGACAGTCATGACTCACAGAGTTATTTTCAGAGGATAAACTGGATTACTGTGAACAATCACATATAAAGCCTTTAATGTGTGTCTGTGTTTTGTTCAGTGACATCGACGTCGCTCAGCAGTTCAACTTGAACCAGAGCAGAGTGGAGGAAATCACCATGAGAGAGGAGGTGGGCAACCTCAACCTGCTGCAGGACAATGACTTTGGTAGGAAATCTTTCCTCTGAGAATGCACACATAATGTTGAATTCTCATGCTTCACCTCCACATTCATTAACATCAGGAGCAGTTTTAGCACTCCTTGTACCTTTGTATCGCACTTCACTTCATAATCTGCTCTAAACAAACTGAGTTTTTGTCGTGCAGCTGACTTTGGTATGGACGACCGGGAGATGATGCGAGACGAGAGCGCGTTCGAAGTGGACATCATGGGAGCATCAGCTCCCAACCTGCTGCTGGAGGCCGAGGGTGCAGCTAACCAGATGGCCGACAAGTCCAACCCTCTGGAGTACGACGACCAGTATAAAGACGGCTTCGGAGAACACCCGTTGGAGAGCAATGAGGAAGGCATGCTGGGTAGGATCATGTTGAATGTTGAGAAGGTGCAAAAATGTGAGCATTTTGAAACATTCAAACTGCTAAAGTCTGAACATGTCATGTATTTGAGCGCAGTTTTCCTCTGATGTTAGCATAGGGACTTCTTTAAAGGCTTTATTTGTGATTTTTCACTCTTAAATATAATATCAAGTATCTCCTCTGAAAATAACTCTGTGAGTCATGACTGTCTACAATGGGTGTAACACCCGAGTCCCACTGTCTGTGATGTTTTCAGAGTCCTATCTTCACTTTGTTTACATCGCCAGGACGGCCGGCTGACTCCTCCCCTCATGTATAAAAGTTGTTTAATTGAGGGACTAGAGAAAAGAAGAATAACATACTGTACTCACTGCTTAACTGTGTTTCTAGATCACGCTCATTTCAGGTAAATTTACATGCAGTGTGAAGATACCAGCATAATAAAGATCGCTAGCATTAGCATGCTAACACAACAATGCAGCGCGAGTTGTTTTGGTTTCATGCTGGAGCTCAAGGGCGACATCTGCTGGATCAAAAAATAGCATATAAAGCCTTTAATGGATATGACCTCTGAACTATTATTCAAAGCTTTACTGTAGTAGTAGTTTGTGTTTAGTTTGCTGTCATTACATTTTATGTTTCAGCAGGTTTTTTTGTACAATGATTGTTCTGCATTTTGTCACAGGAACAATCTGTAATTCTTATTTTTTAATGTGCCTGTATGTTAAACCTTTTCCCATATTCTTTTAAAGCTCTGATTGTAGTCCCTCTCATTTAGTCAGACTGTAACTTTTTAAAGTGAGTTATCTCAATCCAAAGAACTGAACGGCTGCATCTTTGTGCAGTGGACAAGCTGCTCAGTAACGAGGACGGAGACGGCATCTTTGACGACCCTCCTGCCATCGCAGAGAGCGTGATGATGCCTCAGGACCGCGGAGACGACGACGACGACTTTGACGCTCTCTCAGGTCAGCCTGGACGAATAACCCGTTTAACTCCATAACTTCAAAAGTGTTCCTTTAGTTGTTTTGAGAGATCAGAACAGTTGCCGATGTATAATGAAAACATGGTCTTTGGATGTGTTTTGGCAGCTGGAGCTCCAGATAGTCCAGACTCGGGCCCAACAGAGACCCTACCAGCAATGGCGGACCAGGCAGAACAGACCGCCCTGGTCCACAACGAGGAGGAGACCTTCGCCCTGGAGCCGATTGACATCACAGGTAATGCAGCTGCTTTCAAGACACGGCCTCAATCCTCTGTCAAACTTCAGTCTGACTCTGCCTCACATTATCTAAAGTGTAGTTTATTATCTAGAATTGAGCTTGAACATTAAAAATTGAATAAGGAACCATAACAGCTAGCTGGGGTTGCATAGTGATATAAACATAAGAGACAAACAACATGTTGAAAAAGAAGGATTTGATCATTTTGAAGTCTCTAAGTCAGTAAAACATTTGAGTTTTTATGAGTGATTTCTGAGCTTTCTAATCTCCGTCTCTCTTTTTGCCGTGCAGTGAAGGAGACCAAAGCGAAGCGTAAGAGGAAGCTGATTGTGGACAGCGTGAAGGAGTTAGACAGTAAAACCATCCGTGCACAGCTGTCCGATTACTCCGACATCGTCACCACGCTGGACCTGGCACCTCCCACCAAGAAGCTGATGATGTGGAAGGAGACCGGAGGAGTGGAGAAGCTTTTCTCCCTCCCTGCTCAGCCGCTCTGGAACGCCAGGCTGCTGAAGGTGACTTAATAATGTCACAGTGATCCTGTGTATCCTCCTGCATGTTCTCTCAGTCTCAATCCCCCTTTTTCTGCCTCCAGATGTTTACAAGGTGTCTGACCCCGCTGGTACCAGACGAGCTGAGGAAGAGGAGGAAAGGTGGAGAGGCCGACAGTCTGGATGAGTTCCTGAAGGATCTGGAGAACCCCGAGGTGCCCAGAGAGGAAACCACTGGGCCTCAGCAGAGAGACATCATGGGTAAGTCATTTTACCAAGACACACAATTACAATTTAATAAATTCTAAGGAAAAAGGTGAGACGATATACACATTTATAAAAAACGGGGAAAAGTAAAATATAATAATACAAAATAAAAAAAACTTTAATGATGTTGCAACATTATTACTGTCCGTATTGAATAAAAATAACCAAAGGGAGTACATTGCCATAGATGATTTAGTTAATCACAAATATTCTGCCCTAAAACAGTTTCTGCAAAAACGACCAAAATTACAGACATCGCCAACTCTTTACCAGCCGAGCTCAAAATATGTGACAATCTTTATCCTGAAGAAAATTCATATATAGGCCCCAGATATCGTCAAATAATTCATGCTTTCATTTTTTTAATGGGTTTGTTATGAAATGCATTAAACAAAAGAAGAGTGAAGGGTACCAAACTTTAAAAATAATAATTGAAAGCTTAATTTTCCAACCATTTAAAAAAAAGAATCTAGACACAAAAAAAAAAGTATTTTTAAAGAAGTGGCATTGACTGACCTTGAGTGATAGAGTCTTTGATTGAACATGAAAGTATGTCCATATTCCCCCCCCCCCTTCAGATCAGACCATCATGGAGGAAGCCAGCGCTCTGCAGACGTCAGCTGTGGAAGGCAGCAGGACGTCGTTGGACGAGTCAGTCATGCCGCCTCCGTCCCAACGAGGCCTCAAACGTAAAGCCCAAGACACAGAACCCGCCCTGCCTGTAAGTTCAGAAGTGTCTTTATGTTCTGTATCGGCACCCGTCTGTACAACACTGAGTCTTTTTTTTTTTGGGCCATTTTGCCTTTTTAAGATAGGACAGCTGAAGAGAGACAGGAAATGTACAGTAGGGAGGAGAGAGCAGGGGGGAGGACATGTAGCAAAGGGCAAAGGTCAGCCCCAACTGTGTATAGAAGCCTGGTGGAGAAAGCCATGCACACACCACTCAGCTGCTGCGTCAAAAAGTTCCAGATGCACAACTTCATATCATTTCATTAACATTGTAGGCAGTTGATGTATTTTCACATTAAAAGCATTTTCTTTCCCTTTGCTCTGAACATTCAACAATAACTCCACTCTGAAGACTACGATGAAGAAATGAAGAAATGTATTTTTCCTAAATAAGCTTTCTTAATTCTGGTGACATTTGATCTAAAAAGAAATCTGCATCATTTAGCATTTTGTATGAAAGGATTCGTTAATTTGTAATTTGTGTGTTTTATACAAAGTTCAACAACATGGAAACCTTTTTTTTTTTTTTTTACCTCTGTGTTGTTTTTCTTGACATGCTCCTCTCTAGATGGGAGCTTTGGACCAGCAGCAGCCTGACGTGTCCCAGCAGCTGGAGACATCCAGTGTTGATCTCCCCCCCGAGGAAACCAACATCAGCCAGCTGATCGAGCTGGACCTGCTCGGGACAAGGACAGAAAGAAGAACGACGACGACGACTCTGATGAGGAGGTAAGACACAGATCCATTTACTATCACGGTTAAATGTTTTCCTTTTATATAGTTTTTAATGACTTTATCAGGGTGGACATAAGGTCGTTTTTATCTGTGATTTTTACAGAAGTAGACTTTATTAATGTGTGTAACTGTGTTTTTGTGTGTCAGGAGGAGGAGGTCCAGGGTGGAGACCAGGACCAGGAGGAGAGGAGGTGGAACAAGAGAACCCAGCAGATGCTCCATGGCCTCCAGGTATATAAATAAATAAATATGTGGTTTGGAGAACAAGCAGATGAGAAGCCCTCTAAATTACATTTCTGACTACTAGGAAAAAAACAGTTCACAGTTTACAAAAACAATCTGCTACACGAAAGCTTTCCCTCCTGAAGAACATCTCAAGTTTTTGTTTGTCTTCACATAATCAGTCTTACCGTCCATCTGTGTGTGCTGCAAATGCCAGGAGCTGCTAAACTGTTTTTCATTGTTTTTATAGCAATGACAATAAAGATATATTCTATTCTTACTCTCTCTCTCACTGTGCCACAGAGGGTGATGGCCAAAACCGGCGCCCAGTCGGTCAGCCTGCTGGACCTGTGCAAAAACAACAACAAGAAGCAGGCGGCCGCAAAGTTCTACAGCTTCCTGGTCCTGAAGAAGCAGCAGGCGGTGGAGCTCGTCCAGGAGGAGCCGTACAGCGACATCATCGCGACGCCCGGACCTCGCTTCCACATCATCTAAAAAAAACTCTGCAGCCCAAACAGAGGAAAGAACTATTCCACATCTGTCTGTTACTTTAAAAAAAAAAAAAAGTTCTTTATTTTTTATGAATATGAGCTTGTTGACTTGTTGTTAAGTGTATGATGCAGAGTTTAATCTGCAGTGTTTTGTCATGCAGTGGTGGGTGGAACGAGGACTAAATTCATTAACCTGCATGATCAGAACCCAATCAATGGAACATTTCCATTTTTTATTAGCGATGCACTGATTGTGATGTTTAAAACAAAACTGTATCCGATAATCAATCCTGATGTTTAAAAACTTTAGGTGTAAGACTCCAACCAGTACAACATTTTCTTTCATGTTTGACCACGATAACAGATCAGTTGTCCACGAGGCGACGTCCTCCGCCCAATAAAAATCCTCTTCTCTGAATCAGTAGTTAAGAGTACGAGATGAGAAGTAAACATCAGATACTGACATTGGTTCATGCCACATTAATCGCAGATGTGCCGATGTTTGTCCACAGGGCTGATACCGATGTTAAACCAGTGCATCCCTTCTTTTTGATATTGTGTTTTTAAGGCTCTTATGTTGACATCAAGTGAGGGCCAAGTGTTCTATTTGGAGATGTTTACTCATTGTTTCTAGCGGATGTCGGTCGCTTCAATAAGCACTACTTCTTTGAAGCAGCAGCTGTGTTGCTCTGGTCTAAGAATCAAATCAAAGAGATATTTATTTATAATGACGGTATGTTAAGACTGTGACTATACCTCCAGCCACAATGTTCCTTTAGAGACTCGTCCGTCCCACCACTGCAGGCAGAAAACGTTCTCGTGTACAATGACGTTAGGCCAAAAGGAGCATGCACCACGTCCAGTGTCTGCAGTAGTGACATGCACACATAAACTAGCAGTTAGTCATTGTACAACTGTAGTGTAGCACTTTAATCATCAAAAAAAAAACTCAAGGTGTTGTTTTTGCAAATGCTTTGCTTGCATCATGAGCTGTTTGTGCCTCACAAGAGTAAAATCTGTAGCTGTGTCCTAAATCTAAATGACAAAGTGTAGAAATGGAAACAAAATGCTCATGTACTAACACACTTCATTATCGAACGTGCTGCTGTTAGTTTTATTGGATCATGTGGTCCACGGGGAATTCTTGTATACAATTGCACCATAAAAACAATTATATGATGAAGACTATTTATAAAAAAAGTATGCACTAATGAATTGGGACACAGCTTATAAAAATCATCTTCAGATTTCAGTATTTAGATTCCGTCACCATCAGTGGTCTGCTGTTCTTGCATGATCTGTCCTGAAGTATTTATTACAGTGAAATTGCACTAGTTGTATTGCCATGTTGCCCCTCTGTTTTTAAATGACTTTAACTCCATGACACTGAATCAGTTCATTCAGCTTTTAAAAAATGTAGAAGAACATGCAGTCTTGTTTTGTGGAGTTAAAGACGTTCAGTTGTTGTGCTCTAACAGTGTGACGATAAACCAACATGATGCTTGTTTATTAATAATATATATATAACAAGAGAGTCATTGTTTTTTTTTTAATGTAAAGAAAAAAGTTTGAAGGACGTCTGAATGGAAATATTTTGTACAATTGTTGTTCTGACTCTCGTCTCATGATGAAGGAATGTGGCCGGTTGAATTTGGTAGAAATGAATCGAATTACACAGAAAAAAAAATCAAAGTCATTGTGTCGCACTTCTTCTTCTTCTTCTTCTTCTGTGCTCTTCTGCATCGACTGCTGAATGAAATGTTTAAAAAAAAAAATGTAATCATCATGAAATGTCTTGAGTGCATCTTAAATCCAAACCATGTGCCTGTAAAGCGTCTTTTTTTTATTTTGTACAAGAGTAACTGTTACATGGTATGTTCCTGAACATTTCTCTCCGCTGTCTGTGAGTCCTCGATACTGTTGCACATTTTTAAATAAAAACAAATACCATGAGCAGTGTTTTAAAATGGATTTTTGTAAACTACTAAAAACTGATGTGTTCTAAGCACTAATACTGGAAAACTGCAAAACTTCTGAGTGTAATAATTATTTCACCTTTGGCATCCTCATACAATATTTACACGAGAAAAGAAAGTCTTTGTGTTCTTGTGTTTTTATGCGTTTGTCACCACAGGAGCAGCCATGTTGTCTCCGCCCGCCGTCCTCTGTTTCTTGTTCCGACTTCTTTTCCTCTTCTCGCCGTCCGCCCCTGCCGCCGCCGCCGCCTTCTTCAGCGGCGGCGTCGGCCCACCTTTCTTCTTCTTCTTCAAGCAGCTCAGAGGGTTGGGGTTGCTCTGCCTCCTCTTCCTCTTCTTCCCCTTCCTCTCTCCGTCCTGCTGGCCGGTGATCCCCTGCTCCTCCTTCAGGCTGCGGATGCTCTTCTGCTGGGCGGGGCTCACCAGCTCGCCCAGCTGCACGGCCTGGACGCGGTCGAGGGACGCCTGCGCCGGCTTGTCCAGCACGATGGTGTTGAGGATGATGTAGAGCAGGGGGACGCCGGGGATCTTCTTCAGGCCGTCAGTCAGTGCGTGGTCCTGCAGAAAACACAGAAACACGACAAGAAGATGAACGCACCTTTAAGCAAATACAGAAATGATTATATTCTACTATAATATAATATTACATTAGTGTTAGAAAAAAACATGTAAAGTGTATTTTGACCTTCAACAAGAAGCCCCTCCTGCCAGTCTTGATGGCAGAAAGCGATTATTCTCCCTGGACTCCTTCTGATCCTTAATCTTTTCTGCATCACTTATTTTATTATTTTTTATTTAGGAAAAACATTCTTCACACATTAATTAGTAATTAAACATAATAGCTCCTCCCTCAAACTTTCAAACATTGGAGCTCTTTCCTTGCAGAAGGGGGGGGGGGGGTACGATGCTCGCAGTATATTTAACTATTTAACTCTTCCAAAGATTTTTTACATTTTCAAGTAACATGACATTAATTCCTTCCTTCCTTCTTCCCTTCTTTTCTTACATCCTTCCTTCCATCTCCTTCCTTTTTTTCCTTCCTTCCTTCCTTTCTTCCTTCTTCCCTTCTTTTCTTACATCCTTCCTTCCATCTCCTTCCTTTTTTTCCTTCCTTCCTCCCTTTCTTCCTTCTTCCCTTCTGTTCTTACATTCTTCCTTCCTTCTACTTCCTTTTTTTCCTCCCTTCTTTTCTTATATCCTTCCTTCCTCCCTTCTTCTCTTATGTCCTTCCTTCCTTCCTTCCTACTTCCCTCACTCCCTTTCTTCCTTCTTTTCTTACATCCTTCCTTCCTTCCTTCTCCTTCCTTTGTTTTCCTTCATTCCTTCTTTCCTACCTCCCTCACTCCCTTTCTTCCTTCTTCCCTTCCTTCCTTCTTCCCTTCCATCCTTCCTTCCATCTCCTTCCTTTTTTCCTCCCTTCTTTTCTTACATCCTTCCTTCCTTCCTCCCTCCCTTCTTTTCTTACATCCTTCCTTCCTTCCTTCCTCTTCCTTTTTTTGTCCCTTCTTTTCTTACATCCTTCCTTCCTTCTCCTTTCTTCCTTCTCCTTCCTTTTTTTCCTTCCTACCTCCCTCACTCCCTTTCTTCCTTCCGCACTTCTTTTCTTACATCCTTCCTTCCTCCCTCCCTTCTTCTCTTACATCCTTCCTTCCTTCCTTCCTCTTCCTTTTTTTGTCCCTTCTTTTCTTACATCCTTCCTTCCTTCTCCTTTCTTCCTTCTCCTTCCTTTTTTTCCTTCCTTCCTTCCTACCTCCCTCCCTCACTTTCTTCCTTCTTCCCTTCTTTTCTTCCATCCTTCCTTCCATCTCCTTCCTATTTTTCCTTCCTACCTCCCTCACTCCCTTTCTTCCTTCCTCACTTCTTTTCTTACATCCTTCCTTCCTTCAATTATTTACAAAAGAACACAGGAAGCTTTTACTTTGGAGGGGTAGAGAAGGAAAATAAGAAAAGTAAACAAAGAGGAGGTTAACGGATGAAAGAAAATGACAAAAATGAGGAAATAACCCCCAATGAACTCCAATAAGTCAAATAAAATCAGGTCTTATAGGTTTGACATATTCCGTCTGTTTGGTCCATGTCCTGTAGAATCTATCCTTCTGGACTTTGAGGGAAAATCAAAAACACATTTTAAGAGTCCTGATGTGATAATCTGTTCAGTATGGTGTCCGAGCTTTATTGGAGCAGCAGAACACAGTTTGTTTTCTTTCCTTTACCACTGAAGTATAACTAAAGTAAATGAATTAAAAGTATTTTATCTAAAGCTCCTGTGAGGAGAGTTTCTTTATCTGGTTATGAAACAAACTGCCGTTAATCCTGATGCTTCTATATGACCCACAGAAGCAAACAAGACCATCAGTGACTGAAACTTTTATTTAAAGTTATTCTTTAATGCTCGTAAACCGCTGCTGCCTGCCGGGGAAGTGTCAGACAAATCAAGTTAACAGCAGGTCACACATCTTCTACACGACAGAATCACAGTGAGTAATACGTTAATACATAGCAGAATGATCAGCTCAGAGATAATTTGCATCGCTTTGTGGACACGGGTCCCAAAGTCGACGTAAACCGAGATGTCCTTGCAGGAGCTTTAAGTAAACCTACTGATATACTTCTACTGAAGGTGTGAAACATATAATCCATTTTCCTGGTTGTAAAATATTTCAGCAAAGAGTAGGTTTCTGTCATTTCATTCCCCCTCTGTTGTCTTTGCATGTAGGACCTCGTGTATTTACCTGTGTAGCAACAAAGTAGTGGTGTGGGTTTGTCTCCTCCAGCATGGACAGCAGACACTCTGAAGCAGGAACAGGACTCTTTAAATGTGCACATCTCCTCGACTGAAACCTCTGCAGGATGATTCTGGCTCCATAAAGCTCTTTCCCCAGAGTCTCCAGCTCTTTGAGTGCGCAGCTGAGAATCAAACACAAACACTTAGACATAAGAGGGATATTTAAAAAGTTACCTGTAGATATAAATGAAGACAGTGAATCCACTCACCTGGTGGTGCAGAGCTGCACTTCTCCCATCAGGTATTTCGGCATCTGCTCTTTGATTTGAATCTTGTTTTTTAAAGCCGCCTGACAAAACGTCCCGTCGATCAGGATCTGAAAAGGCTGCCTGAAGCTGAAGTTGTATTTGTAGAAACTTATTGTTTTCTTGGCTTGTTTCTGACGCTTGATCTTCATGGTGGCTGATTATCTGTTGATATCCTTCAGAAAAGAAGAATGAACGTCAGTGACGCACGTTCAAATAAAGGAGATTACACTTCCGGTTAGATAAACTGACTCCGATTGTTTACGTCTTGATTTTATCACATATTTCTTCTTTGGCTATTTCAGCATGGAGGTTTTCCAGTGTACACAACACGCTGGTGGTGCTGGCTACTCGTAACTCCGGACGGAAACAAAAAATGCAGCAAAGGTTCCGGCTGTCAGTTTATTCATTTTTTGGGTTATAGCAGCATCATTTGCCTTTTAAAGACACAGTTTGACTTCTCACTAATTAGTTCTTATTATGAATTTAACAAACAGTAATTCAATAACATAATTGGATATTATTCTGTCAGTCAAAGGAACTAAATATTGGAATATTCTCCCACTCACAAACATATTCAACCTTCAAAACACCTCAAACAGTGGATAAAAGAAAACCAAGTCTGTGACCACCTTTAACCTTTAACCTCTATTATTGTCTTGTGTCATTTGTGCCTTTGTATTTGTATTTTATTTGTTATGTGTCTTTCTCTGTTACCTGCCGAGGGACAACAGATGGAAACTAACACTTCTGCTATAATCTGACATTTTTACAGCTGTTCATTAATATGCACTGTCCCTAACAAATAAATACATAAATAAAATTATGTTTAAAATACAAAACACACGTCTCTCTTTTTTCCTACGTTTTAAAAGTATAAATGTAAAACCATTTCATACCCTCAAATATTTGATTATTTTTAATTTGGGTTGTTTCTGGGTTTTAAAAACATACAAAAAATGTTTATACAAACTCTTTTAGAGGATGAACCAAACATAAAACAGCAAAATACACAGGAACAAGTTAATTCAAACATAAATCAAGACTTGGGGGGATTATATATACATAAAAATAAATAAAGAAAAATCAAACTTTTCCAAAAGTATACATCAGGCAAATGTAAGCAGACAACAATCTGGAGCAAGGACAAAAACATTCAACAAGGGCCAGAAATCAAAACAACATTTTCTAGTATTTTTTTCGGGGGGAAGGGGAGGACGAGATCTGACAGAAGTATAAATAAATAAATAAATAAATGAATGTATAAATAAATACTGGAATAAATAAATAAAATAATGAATAAATAAATAAATAAATGTATAAATAAATAGTGGAATAAATAAATAAAAGAATGAATGAATGAATGAATAAATAAATAAATGTATAAATAAATACTGGAATAAATAAATAAAAGAATGAATAAATAAATAAATAAATGTATAAATAAATAGTGGAATAAATAAATAAAAGAATGAATAAATAAATAAATAAATGTATAAATAAATAGTGGAATAAATAAATAAAAGAATGAATGAATGAATGAATAAATAAATAAATGTATAATTAAATACTGGAATAAATAAATAAAATAATGAATAAATAAATAAATAAATGTATAAATAAATACTGGAATAAATAAGTAAAAGAATGAATAAATAAATAAATAAATAAATGCGTGAATAAGTAAATAAAAACTGGTAAATAAATGGGACATAACTAATTAAATGTCTTAAATTTATTTCTCCATTTATTTATTTCCACAGTATTCATTTATACAGACAATTTATAAATGTATTTATAAATTTATAAATGTATAAATGTATTACTTTATTAATCTATTAATTTATTGATTGATTGATTGATTGATTGATTGATTTATTTATTTATTTATACTTCTGTCAGATCTCGTCCTCCATAGACGGGGGCTCTACATTTTCCTCTCGTCCCTTTTAGTCCCCGGAACCGGAACCGGAAGTATCCTCCAGGTATCTTGAGAGAGAGAGAGAGAGCAGGTGACACTTGTCGTCGCCTCTCTGACTCACACTTTCACGTCAGCTCGGGTCGGGTCCGTGTCGGCGGAGGCTTGGTTGCGGTTTACCTTCCTTTGCTTGTACAGTTGACATTATGGCGGCCGCGGATCCCCGGTCCTCGAGTGACGGCGGGCCGGCCAGCAGAGCAGGATTCCCGGCGGGAGAGAGCAGCAACGACCGCGACGGGCCGGGCGGCGGCGGCGGCGGCGGAGGAGGAGGAGGCGGGGAAGGAGAACCGGAGAGAGACCGGGCGACGTTCGAGTGCAACATTTGTTTGGATACTGCCAAGGACGCTGTCATCAGTATGTGCGGACACTTGTTCTGGTACGATTGTTTTGATATGTGGAGGTTGTTGTTGTTGTTGTCTTAGTTCAACCCACCGGGCACAGGGAACCTTTTACCGTGTTTTACGGCCTCCACAACCCGTCACTGTGAGACACTTCACGGCGGTAGAAATGACAAAACAGGGTGTGGGTGTAAAATCACTGTTGTAGTTAAATCTGAAGAGTGGCTGAACTTCAACCCCCTAATACACCAGGTTTTATTTTAAAAGTCTGAGCATGTGTTGTCCTTTTAGTTCTGGCTTGCATATTTGATCATTAAATATAATATAATATAATATAATATAATATATTTACTTTATTGATCCCAAACTGGGAAATTGTGGCGTTACAGCAGCAGGTTGTCCAACACACAATGTTAGCAAATCTAAACACAATATAATATTAAATACAAAGTAAATAAATATCAAATAAATATCAAAACTAAGAATGAGAATATATACAACCAGGATTTAACTCAGCATTACTAGTCTTAAATATGAAATATTAAATGTAAATGTGCAAAAACAGAGTTGTAAATGGACAGTATTGACATAGGGGGGGCGGCTCAGTCTGCAGGGATTTTGGTTGGTTGGGAAGCGGAGGGTCGCCGGTTCAAGTCCCGGTGCAGACCGAAATATGGAAGTTGGTCTGGTAGCTGGAGAGGTGTCAGATCACTTCCTCAGCACTGCCGAGGTGCCCTTGAGCAAGGCACCAAACCCCCCTCCCCACCATCAGCTCAGGAGCTCCGTCACCCTGGCTTCTCTCCATTAGTGCGTCCTGTTTGTGTGTGTGTGTTTGTATTTCAGCCTATGTTTGTGTTGCATGATTACAGAGTGTAAAAACTGAAATTTCCCCTCGCGGGATCAATAAAAGTAAATCTTAATCTTAGGGAAATGTGCAATCAGTGATACTATAAGTTAAAGTGCATGAGTGTAGACATATAAGCAGAAACTATACAATATAACAGTGAGTAGACAGACAAATGAAGTGAACATGAGTGCAGGGATAATATGTAAATTTAAACACGTGCAGAACAGATGACAGTATGACAGATATTATCATGATGACAGTTCTCTGCTCACATGAGGTGAGCTGTTGTACAGAGTTATGGACTTCAGTAAGAAAGATTTCTTGTATCAATGTGATCATGTGATCTTCTCTGATCTCTGGAGGAATTAAGTGCTCAGGTCAGATCATATCAGATGGTTGGATGTGTGTCAGAGGTCACAAAGCAGCCACTTCGTCTTCCACCACCAGTGACACATTAACTTAGCTGTTTAAGTTCAATCCGTAGCCTGCAGGTGCATAATAAGTTACCTTGGAGTGGAGAAGCGATGTCCAAACATCAAGCTGTTAGTGTCGGGTTTGCTTACAAAACTATTAGTTAAAGATTAGGTTGGGTCAGGGTGCGTCCATCAGATCATTGATGTCAATGAGTAACAAGAAATTACAGCACAGAAAAAATGGAAGACATGTTTTGAAACAGTTATCAAAGTGTATGCACGTTTTATTTTCCAACTATAAAATGCTGCACAATACAATAAGTGACTAACAGATAAATAAATACAGACTCTGTGAGGCTGCACTCCAGCTGTACCTCATTCTATCTTTGTCTCAATCAAAATCTTGCACAACCTTTAGTCTTGCACACGTCCACACACACACACACACACAACAGTGAAGCGTGAGTTTCATTCAGGAGTTGTTGTGATTGTTGACTGACGGCCTTCTTGCCCGCTCAGGCTAATGTGAGATTAGAGGCAGCGAGAGTAGGATTGGGGTCAGACCTAAAGACATGGAGTAACTTATCTTCACCGGTTGTTTGCTCATGTAGTTTCATCTGATATGGATCTGTGTTTGGTGTTCAAGCTGCAGAGACAGAGGTCGAGGTCGAGGTTAAGGACGTAGAGGACACTCAGGCTGCATAGAAGTGAAGATGCCACATGCTCTCCATTACTTATTTCGTCCTTTTAATTAGAAAAAAAATATTATTTTCTGGTTAAAAAGGCGCAAAAGTAGTCCATTCACACCTTTTAAAGATGGACACTAAATGATACCTGAAGAGCAGATAGTTTGAATGATGGTGGACGATTATTAGTGTCTCCTCTATGAGCAGAAAGTTGTTTTTTAAGGATTAAAAGAACGATTCTGTTTTGCTTTAACTTTCAGAGTAACATGTACACACACAGTCACACACACACACACACACACACACACACACACACACACACACACAGGTGTTTTTGTTTAGGGTGTTGTTACAAAGTGACTGATACATCGTGTTCCTGTTTATTTAATATATTTATTGAATAGTCGAGCTTTGGTCGGGGCACTTTTCATACACGTGCAGTTGCTTTACAGTCATTGTAGCTCCTGTATCATGTTGCTGATGTAACTTGGTTGCTATGTTACCGGTGCCCCCCCCCCCTCGTCTCTCTCTCATCTGTAGTGTAAGGTGATGATGAAACAGTCGGCAATGATGAGAGGTGTTGACGTCAGATCACCTGCTGCAGCTTCAAAACAAACAGCTTAATCGCCTTTTAGTTATTGTCTGTTTGAATATCGAGTCAGCGTCTTACTTTCTGTTAAATACATTTAGATGGCCTCAGTAGGAGACATTTTACCAAAGACAGTTTATTACTTTGAACCCTCTCTGAATTTTCTTTAATTGTTGACCTGCAGCAAAACATTTGGACTTGTTGCTTCAATGCTCACAAATAAATCAATCGAGTTAGTAAATGGAAATTCTTGTGTCACAAATGAGACAACGACACTCACTCAGATTTTACTCTGAAATTTGAAGCATGAAAACTGAACCTGTGGAGGAATTTCTGTAGTTCTTTAGATTATAATGTACAGATGTAATTAGGTTTATTCACTGTTGTCTAATGTCCGTCAGAGCTGACACAGTTCAGTTGTTATTAGAACACCAAGGACGGCTTGGAGAGTGTCACCTGTTCTTCCTGATATCTGCTGGATGTTTGGTAGACTTGTTGTCTGCTCCAGTGTTACAGACGTCACAGTTTAGTCTAGGTGGGTCAATGTGACCCTGATAATGATCATGTCTTTTAGGATATATGCGATGCCTTTCGAGAAGTTCGGCAGATGTGATAGAGCAAGACGAAGAGAGGGCGCTATAACTGGAGCTCTTAGGGTCCGACCGATAAGAGTTTTTTGGGTCCGATGCCGATATTAGGAAGAGAAAAAACTGTTAAAGGCTTTATATGTGATGTTTTGATCCAGCAGATGTCGCCCTTGAGCTCCAGCATGAAACCAAAACAACTCGCGGTGCATTGTTGTGTTAGCATGCTAATGCTAGCGATCTTTATTATGCTGGTATCTTCACACTGCATGTAAATGTACCTGAAATGAGCGTGATCTAGAAACACAGTTAAGCAGTGAGTACAGTATGTTATTCTTCTTTTCTCTAGTCCCTCAATTAAACAACTTTTATACACGAGGGGAGGAGTCAGCTGGCCATCCGGGCGATGTAAACAAACTGAAGATAGGACTCTGAAAACTCTGAAAACATGACAGACAGTGGGACTCGGGTGTTACACCCATTGTAGACAGTCATGACTCACAGAGTTATTTTCAGAGGATATACTTGATTTATATTAAAGTGTGAAAAATCACATATAAATACTTTCAGTGATAAAACAGCTGATCTGTAAAGATAGATATAGACATGCACAATTTTTGCGTTGATACCTCAAATGCAGTTATCAAACACTTGAAGATGATCACTCTGGAAAGAAACTGTGCATGTGCCTGTGTCATAACTTGACACTCTGGAGCGTGATGATACTTGTTGTGATCTGCTGGTGAAAGTGAACGGCTCATGTAATACAATGAAACTCAAATGAAATGCTATTTGACTGGTGGAGAAATGTAGTATTATTGGCGCAGAGCTGCGATATAATTAGCCGATACCAATATTCACTTGATACACTGTTATCAGCCGATATTATCGGTGAGCCGATAAATTGGTCAGGCTCTAGTTTTTTTATTATTTTATGCCATTTCATTAATAAACCTTGATCGGTTTCATGCAAAGTCCTCTTGCCAGAGACAACAACAAAGTGTTCTTTACTAAAACATCAGTGCAGTATTTGTAAACACCTGATTGAAATCAGAGGGCGTAACGAGACAGAGAAACAGTCAGAGTGTTTTCATATTCAGTTTAATGTTGTGAAAATATGAGCGTGCATCTGTTTAATGGTTGTAGTGGGTTGCAGTGATGGAGTGTGTGTGTGTACACTGTGCAGTCAGGCTCCAGTGAACACTTATTGAGCCTCTTATAGGAAATTAAGCGGTTAATTTCAGGTCACAAGAGCCCGGCTGTACGTGTGGTAACACGTTAAGTCTCACTTAAATGGGCTGTTGTGTTAACTTCAGCTTTTTTGTGTGTGTGTGTGTGTGTGTGTGTGTGTGTGTGTGTGTGTGTGTGTGTGTGTGTGTGTGTGTGTGTGTGTGTGTGTGTGTGTGTGTGTGTGTGTGTGTGTGTGTGTGTGTGTGTGTGTGTGTGTGTGTGTGTGTGTGTGTGTGTTGTGTGTGTGTGTGTGTGTGTGTGTGTGTGTGTGTGTGTGTGTGTGTGTGTGTGTGTGTGTGTGTGTGTGTGTGTGTGTGTGTGTGTGTGTGTGTGTGTGTGTGTGTGTGTGTGTGTGTGTGCGATAACTATTTTGTGGTTAAGAAGTGAAATGTCTAAAACCAGTCCTGCCTGTTCGTCTTTCAGGGATTCGCTGACAGAAGTATTCATAGAGTTCACTGACGATGCTTTAACACTGAAAACGTAAACCTTAGAAATAACTAACACCCTGCTGCAACATAGAGTTCAACTTCAGCGTCTGTACAGGGTGACAACAGTCTTCTTAGTGATGAAGAAAAAATCCATGAAGAACATGTAATCTTTTTGTTCTTCTTGTTAGCGCATGAGGGGAGCTCTCTGCTTACATCATGGAAAATCTAAATTTAGACATTTGGATGAAACGCTCCATCTGCAGTGTCTCTAATTAACTGAGGTCTTAAGGCAGAACATTTCTCATTTCTTTTATAATACGCTTCAATCTATGGTGCAGGATTCAGTTTAAGAACGCTTTTTATACATGCAGATGATCTCATCATTCAGTGTTCATCAAGGAAACACTTTGTTTGTTTGTGTAGCTTACTTGAACTGTATATTTCCTGGAGGCTCGTCTGAACGTGGAAAAACACCTTTTTGTCTTTGAATTGTAAGAGTTATATTTTACACTCTCCCACTGCATGCACTACTCTACAACACATACTGGCAGTTTGAAAGAAGAGCTGTGATGGATTTATTAAAGTCTAATGTTGGCAGTAGACACAGCACCAGATTTTGACTTGGGAAGTGTTCTGGTATCTGTACTGAATGTAGGAAAACAGTTCAATAGAAAGTAAAGAAAGTGGCAGAAGCAATCCGTGTTCATCCTGGAACCCATTGGTGGTCATCAAACCAATTAGCTTTAAGAAATGTCTTTTAACATCGGCATGCAAGTGCAGTTTAAAATCGGCTGTTGGGAGTTCATTCTTAGACTCATTCTTGCATTTCAGCTTGAATGAGTCAGAGTGTAAACAAAGAGCAACGCACGGAAAAAGAAGTCTTAGCTAGAAGTCCAAATGCTAACGCCCTGACTTCAGCGGAAGGACGAAAAGCCTTTATCCATCTTCAGATGATTCCCAACTGGTTCTGAGATTAGGTGACCAGCTAACCAGCCCTTCCTTTAAGTAACACTTTGAGACTTTCAGAGCAGATTTTTCAGACCAAAACAAACTCTCTATTTGAACACACCTCCTTCATCCCTCAGCTTCCACTTGATTCCTGCATCCTGATTCACCTGCAAGAAAGTGATAATAAACATCGAGAACGAGATTCTGCGACTTGAAGATTTCAAGTGACGATATGTATCTCAAAGTTGATTCAGTTGTTTTCTGATGATCTTTTTTTAGACCAAAGAAAATCGTTTTGTTTCCACTTTGGAAAGTCTGTTGGTTCCCCCTCAGTTTTACTCGTGGGACAACAGCCGGTCATTTTGCCTCTGGAAACAGCGTCCCTGAGTGGGCGGGGCTGTGGCTCTTCCCCCGTGTGGTGGCAGGTTGGGGAGGGTGGGCTCACGTGAACCGTTAACAAGCTGAAGGACCCACCAGTGTGAACACAGAGCTGAGAACATCAAGCCCAGAAGAGTTAGACTTCACTCTCTTTTTAGGAAACCATTACCCCACAATGTATTTACAGAGAGACGGTACATTTGATTTTTCTTCATTTAAAAAAAAAACATAATATATGACACTCAAATTTCATGAATCTTTTTAGACACAGAGTAAATAATTTAGACTTTTGTGGGCATTAAAAAAAACTATAAGAAGAAGAATGGTGAGAAAACCTCGGTGGTAGCACAAACTGGTGTCCTGAATGTGCATCATTCACTCCCATAATGCAACAGCAGAGTTGAAATACACACAGGTTGAACAGATGGAGCTTATTAATAACAGCAGTGGGGAGGGGGGAGGAACAGGTTTTTCCAGGTTGGTGGGCTTCTATAGGAGGGAGATTCACCCGGTGGGGAGGGGGGATCAAACATGAAGATTAACACACAAAAAAGAAAAGATTGATTTTATACAAGCGGGTGTTGAAATGAATTGTTTGTACGATGAATGGACATGGATGATTTCTGCATCGATTTATGTTGACAGTGATTTGTTAATAATAATAAGAACGGGTCTCTGCAGTAACATGAATGTGAGGATGCAACCCGTTGTGATGCATCGTAATGTAGAATCACATCGCTGCTCTGTTTTATACTCATGAGTCAAATGTTAGTGAAGTGGACGACTCGTCTTTAGTGAGAAAGGATGCAAATTAATCGTTTCTGTTTTTGTCTCCTCCCCCTCCCCCTCTCTCTCTCTCTCTCTCTCTCTCTCTCTGTCTGTCTGCAGCTGGCCCTGTCTTCATCAAGTGAGTATATTTCTCTTTAGTAATGTCGTCCTCTGCTTTGTAACACTCGTTGGCCACCACAGGTGTTTTCACTCTGCAGACTCAAACAAACTGTATTTAGTCACTTTGCTTTTACACAAGTTCTTAGTACACAGAGGTTAAGATAAAGAGGAGGGGGGGTGAGTTCTGATATATTCTGTTTCCAAATGATCCAAACTGAAACAGATTTAGTCTGTCGGTCTGAACGAGGCTCTACACTTAAGTTAATCAGCGTGAGGTTGTGATGTCATCCAGCGTGTAAACTACACCTGTAAGTCGACTTCAAGCAGCTTAAACAGGCTGATGCTCCTAAAGCCTGTGTTTACTGCAGCTTCTCTTTACTACTCTCTCTCCACCACTCACACATGTAGAGCTGCACACTGATCACATATCAGTGTTAGACATGCTACTAGACACATGTTGTAACCACGAGAGGGAGAGAGAGAGGGAGAGAGAGAGAGAGAGAGAGAGGGAGTCTGAGTTTTGGTTTGCTCCGAGAACAAAATGTAGAAATGTGTTTGATCTGAAATGGTTTTTCATCGTGTCAGTGGTTGGAGACGCGGCCCAGCAGGCAGCAGTGTCCCGTCTGTAAAGCGGGCATCAGCAGAGAGAAAGTCATCCCACTGTACGGCCGAGGGAGCTCCAGCCAAGAGGACCCCAGGTACCCCAGAGGAGTCCTGACACCGACTTCCATTTAATATGCTTCTTTTTTTTTTTTTTTTTTTTTGTCGCCTCATTTGGCTGACTGGTCTGTGTTGTTGACTGATCTGTGTTGTTGACTGACTGGTCTGTGTTGACTGACTGGTCTGTGTTGTTGACTGACTGATCTGTGTTGTTGACTGATCTGTGTTGTTGACTGATCTGTGTTGTTGACTGATCTGTGTTGTTGTTGTTGTTGACTGATCTGTGTTGTTGACTGACTGATCTGTGTTGTTGACTGGTCTGTGTTGTTGACTGACTGGTCTGTGTTGACTGACTGGTCTGTGTTGTTGACTGATCTGTGTTGTTGACTGATCTGTGTTGTTGGCTGATCTGTGTTGTTGACTGATCTGTGTTGTTGACTGATCTGTGTTGTTGACTGACTGGTCTGTGTTGTTGACTGACTGGTCTGTGTTGTTGACTGGTCTGTGTTGTTGACTGACTGATCTGTCTTGTTGACTGGTCTGTGTTGTTGACTGGTCTGTGTTGTTGACTGATCTGTGTTGTTGACTGATCTGTGTTGTTGACTGATCTGTGTTGACTGACTGGTCTGTGTTGTTGACTGGTCTGTGTTGTTGACTGATCTGTGTTGTTGACTGATCTGTGTTGTTGACTGGTCTGTGTTGTTGACTGACTGGTCTGTGTTGTTGACTGACTGATCTGTGTTGTTGACTGATCTGTGTTGACTGACTGGTCTGTGTTGTTGACTGATCTGTGTTGTTGACTGATCTGTGTTGTTGACTGACCTGTGTTGTTGACTGACCTGTGTTGTTGACTGATCTGTGTTGTTGACTGACTGGTCTGTGTTGTTGACTGACTGGTCTGTGTTGTTGACTGGTCTGTGTTGTTGACTGACTGATCTGTGTTGTTGACTGATCTGTGTTGTTGACTGACTGATCTGTGTTGTTGACTGATCTGTGTTGTTGACTGATCTGTGTTGTTGACTGGTCTGTGTTGTTGGCTGATCTGTGTTGTTGACTGATCTGTGTTGTTGACTGGTCTGTGTTGTTGACTGGTCTGTGTTGTTGTTGACTGGTCTGTGCTGTTGTTGTTGACTGGTCTGTGTTGTTGTTGTTGACTGGTCTGTGTTGTTGTTGTTGTTGACTGGTCTGTGTTGTTGTTGTTGACTTGTCTGTGTTGTTGTTGTTGTTGACTGGTCTGTGTTGTTGTTGTTGACTGGTCTGTGTTGTTGTTGTTGACTGATCTGTGTTGTTGTTGTTGACTGGTCTGTGTTGTTGTTGTTGACTGGTCTGTGTTGTTGTTGTTGACTGGTCTGTGTTGTTGTTGTTGTTGTTGGCTGATCTGTGTTGTTGTTGTTGTTGACTGATCTGTGTTGTTGACTGGTCTGTGTTGTTGTTGTTGACTGGTCTGTGTTGTTGTTGTTGACTGATCTGTGTTGTTGTTGTTGTTGACTGGTCTGTGTTGTTGTTGCACAGGTTGAAAACTCCTCCGCGGCCTCAGGGACAGAGAACAGAGCCGGAGAGTCGAGGCGGGGTGAGGACTCACTCCCTTTAGAAATATTAATCACAGTTTTTTTGACTCTTCTGGCTTTGACTTGTTTTTAAACCGTCTCGCTGCGTCTATGTTTCCGTTTGTTTACAGATGTTTCAGGGTTTCGGGGACACCGGCTTCCACATGTCTTTCGGCATCGGTGCTTTCCCCTTCGGCTTCTTCACCACAGTCTTCAACACCAACGAGCCCTTTCACAGAACAGGTGGGTGCACAACAAATATGTCAGCGAGTGAGTACCCATATTTGACTGATCAGACTTTGAGGTCACAGAGAGGATTCATGTACGATGTAGTTCCAGCTGTTTCCTCACATTGAATCATAACAAACTCTTGAGCCCGGCGTACGCTGCGCCATCTCAGGCCGATTTCTGACGTCAAATTTCAGGCCGCTCACACATCGTTAGTGTTACAGAGAACACTGAGGGACGAGCTGCTGCCGACCGCTCGGAAGATCGTCTGCCATGTTTGATATTTAGTCAATAGACAGAAACACAATCACACAGTGTGAGTCGAGCCAACAGCTGATTGATAGTGTTTAGAAAAATCCCTCACTCTTCTTTTAGTAGCAGTAATCATTTATTTCGGTCACAAGAAAAAAACAAAAACATTTTGACTGAAAAGGTGAAGCTTTATCTTATTACACCTCCCCTTGTTATAAATCTGATTATTTAAGACTAGTTTGGTTACAAAAAACAAAACATATCAGAACAAAATTTCTTCCAAAAAAGAAAACAGAAAACAGAAGTCACAACCGACCTTTTATATTTGTGAAACATCATTTTTATAAAACAAAACTTTAAGTCTGGAAAGTGAACTACACATTGTTAATTCCACAAGTTAACCCCTTTTACTGAAATACACGTGTTCTTTACGGACAGTTTAATGATGGTTCCTTCATTTAGAGCTCTCAACAAACCAGTGCTTAATCCAACCTTCACTGACCATCATGTAAATGTTATGTCTCTCTGGTTTACCATCTTTCCCTCAATTAAAAAGTCATTCTTTATGATCTCACACACGTTTCAAACACTGATGAGCTCATTCTGATAATTAGAGCAGAATAAACGTCCATGTGAACACGGCTGTTTCCTTCATGTGAGGTAATCATTGGACTACAGATGGAAACACATTTTCCCACAAGACACTGCTCTAATAACCTCTCTCTCCCATCCATCCCCTCCCCTCCCCCCGTCCCTCTAACAGACCAGTATGCAGGTGATCACCAAGGCAACGCTAACCTCAACAATGGCAATAACAACTGGCAAGACTCCCTCTTCCTGTTCGTCGCCATCTTCTTCTTCTTCTGGCTGCTGAGCGTGTGACAGAGACCGGACGGAAAACAAACAAAACACAAACTCTGACACACTTTAACCCGAACCACACACACACACACACACACACACACTCATTTTTACATTTCCTAGCAGGTACTTAATTGGGAGAGAAAGCAGGGGGAAACAATATATATAGAAATGGGGGATTTTGGGGTAGTCTCCTCCTGACAAAAGGCAGATTCACTTTAGCCCCGCCCACCTGCTTTGACGTTTTGTTTATGCAAGTAACACACACTGGGAAGTAAAGTGGATGTGTCCCAAAATGAATGATGTAAGCACTCCATTTCTACATGCGTCTGTAGATATATGCACATGGAACAATACATAGTGTACAAGCTCACTGATTGGCTGAAGAGACAGTATTATGAGATGAAGGTGAGAGAAAAATCTTTTTGTTTTTTTAATCCATGCAGAAAAAAACAAGTGGAGGACATTTTGGGACAAATTTCTTATTGTTTTTTTTTATTCCTCCTGAATGAGTCTCTGAATTATTCTTTAATAAAAAAAAGAGGAATAAAGTTTAAAGGCTTTCTATGTGATTTTTCACACTTAAATGTAGAAATCAAGTATCTCCTCTGAAAATAACTCTGTGAGTCATGACTGTCTACAATGGGTGTAACACCCGAGTCCCACTGTCTGTGATGTTTTCAGAGTCCTATCTTCAGTTTGTTTACATCGACAGGACGGCAGGCTGACTCCTCCCCTCGTGTATAAAAGTTGTTTAATTGAGGGACTAGAGAAAAGAAGAATAACATACTGTACTCACTGCTTAACTGTGTTTCTAGATCACGCTCATTTCAGGTAAATTTACATGCAGTGTGAAGATACCAGCATAATAAAGATCGCTAGCATTAGCATGCTAACACAACAATGCAGCGCGAGTTGTTTTGGTTTCATGCTGGTGCTCAAGGGCGACATCTACTGGATGAAAAAAAATCACATATAAAGCCTTTAAAGTGGGTTAAAACAGAATTTAAAAAAAAGGAGTGTGGAGAAAACGTCCTTTAAAAAGGCCAAAGAGTAGCAAATCAGTCAGATACAAAGAGGGGGCAAAACGATGTCATTGAATGAAGTTGCCGTTTACAGTTTGGGATGAAAAAGTACTAATTTTGAAGCCTAACTCTTGACAGTGGTAATAGCACAGCTGGATGCGTTTTCTATACACTTGTCTTAACAAAAACTACCATTGCACTGTGAAGTCGTTTTGTAGACGGAGCTGTCCTGAAGGTGGAGCGTCGGCTGGGGGTCGAACCCTCTCTCTCTCTCTGTGTCTCGTTTTGTTGGCCAGTGTGGGAGATTTTCACGAGCAATTTGGGAGACTTAAAAAAACAAACAAACAAAAAAAACCATCCTGACACAGATCGAAAAAAAGATCTTGCTCGTAAAGTAGCTCAAAGAGAGAAGGGTCCTTCAGCCGAGAGGTCAAAAGGTCAGCACACAGAAAAGCTCAATGAACTCTGTCACAGTTGATGTAGGGTCTTTTTTCTTCTTCTGTCTGTTTGTGTCTGAGTGCGTGTGTATACATTATATATTTGTACATAATGAATATTGTAAATGCAGTTTTTAATGTGTTTTCTGAGTGGATGACCAACCATGTGAAACAAGAGAGGAACGAGATGTACAAAGTAAGTAGGCTTCGAAATGCTTTTTGTAAAGCAAGATCCGCTTCCTGGTTTTCATAAACTCCCTCCTTTAACCCATGTTAAGAACTCTTTCTGCCAACCCCCTCTCCTGTGAAGTTCAATAAATGTTATGAAAGAAAGTTGGTGCTTTCATGCGTCTGTGTCCACTATTTCCTGACATTTCACAAACCTTAAATTTATCTATAAAAATATAAACTGCCCGGGCGTGAAGAGCTGGATGATAAGTGTGCAGCCATTAAGAATCTCACAGAGGGTTAGAGCGCACATTAAATCCTGATTTAAAGGATCTGTTGCCTACTTGAATGTAAATTCCTCAAATGGCTCCAGGATCATGAACTCTGCATCGTGTTGCTCAGTGAGTGATGTGTGCACAAAAGCTTGAACATGTGAGCTTTCACATGACGCCTGACTGTGTGGAGTCTCACTGAGGAGAAAAGGTCCGGCTTGTAGAGATCTCTTTCAGTCGACTCAAAGGTTTGAATGTTTTAATGACTGTAAGGATTAGAAACCATGGAGACACACATTTAAACATATTTACATCTTTATTACATTATTTTCAACATAATCAAAATATCTGCCATAAAAATGTTTATATTTAAAACATTTTTTTTTTTTACAAATGTTAACTAAAAATATAGTTTAGAGATCTTTGTGCTCGATCTGAAGAAGAAAAAAAACCTGCTACATTCATTATTTCAGTTTTAAAATGTCTGGAGTGTTTCCTGTTGTAACATTGAGTCATATGACCTGGAAATAATTATGGAGAATTTAAAGCTAAATTAACCTGCCTTCACATGATCAGTCCTTTCATGTGAGCAGTCAATAATACTACTTCTGCACATACAAAAAATATTGTACAAAATCATTAAAAAAAAGTGCAAAATCAGCCGATTAGTTTCGGTAAACTGGGAGTAAACGATGCAGCGGTAAAGTGTAGAAAGATATTGTTGAAATCTGTGATTCACTGTTTGTGTGGATTCATGAACTCTGCAGGTCAAAAGGTCTTCATTCCTTTTTCCCTCTCTTCGGCGCTTTGTTGGATTTGCTGAGGATCTTCATGAGGTTTTTGGACATAAAGTACGGCTTCTGCAGAGACCCATCGTTACGCTCCAGATCTTCCACTGTGACGGAAAAATGAGAGTGAAATCAAACTGTGAGCTTGTTTCTGTGTCTGAGTTTTCAAATAATACTGATAAAAATCAGCCTTCATGTTTACATGCTTTTATAAAACACTCAGTGATCTGTAGACATTTACTCACAGAAGCAGAGGAAGAGCGTATCAACACACATGTTGTACACACTGAAGAATCCATGAGCTATGAGGTAGCTACCAAACACCACCGTCTGTCATCAAAAGAGAACCAGAATCAGAATCAGAATCAGAACCAGAATCAGAATCTGGTTTTATTGCCAACTACATTTACACATACAAGGAATTAGACTTGGTGTATTGGTGCTAAACAATTAACAAGGAAATAAAGCAGAACTAGAAACAACTTCAATAATACAGAATAAGAAGATATTACAATATATAAAATAGAATTTAAAAATGTAAAATATAAAATATAAAAAACACAAAAAGGACACAAGCTGTGCAGTGGACCAAAGAGCTTCAACCCAAATAAAAACTTAGTTTAATGTATCTGAGTGAATCTGTTTTCAGAGCGAGAGAGGGGCACGTTGTGACACTTACGATAATGGGCATCCAGTAGTAGTTGAGTGTTTCAGAGCGGAAGGTGTCGCCGGGCAGGAGTATTCGTCCAGAGAAGAAAAAGAAGGACAGCACAGCTGGAAACAGAAAGACATTAAAGAAACATTTCATCAAACAGGCTGCTTTCTAAAGACGTTCCTAGCTTGTGAATTAAAGGTCTTACGTCTCATGTGTTTCTTTAATTATTAACCTTTTTTTTTAACATTCTGTAAATCAGTGTTGTAGAACTCGAGTCCAGTACGCCACCTGTCTTATAATTAGAGAAGATCTATAATAATAATAATAATCAGGAATACTTTCTAAAATTATGATCTAAAAACATGTCCTACTGACAAAACTACACAAAAAGAAAACAACGTGAGGTCAGAAAATCAAGCTTTTCATCAGAGATAAAAGATCGTGTGTCACGTCTTGTTTTCTGTAACGACGGGCCGAAGGAGGGAGATCAGACTCGACAAAAAGAGGGTGCTCAGGTCTCAGTCTTACTGATGACATGCTTAGACTGAATGTCCTTTAGTGTTCCTCAGCACGAGTATCAAATGAGTAAAAAGAAACTGCTCATATAGGTCTTACTGTAAGACACTGAATATCATTATCTCAGATTGTAGATCAATATTGTGGCTCTGATATCAAAGGAAACAGCTTAAGTTATTAACTACTCATCTCTCACTTCCTGTCTCACTTTATCCGTCTTTCCCGGCTCAGGTTGTCAGATGATGACTGTTCAAACTAATGTTTCCTACTCTGTGTTTCAAAGCGCTTCCTTATTATCGATGGTCTAGAAATGCTTTTTATATAAAGTGACAAGAGATACCGTTTTTTTTTTCTTTTTTTCTTTTTTTTACAATTTGGTGCCACTATGTAAACGTTGATTGATCAATTGAAATTGACTTGAATTGATCAAATCCACCACATGTACTTCATTTAAGTCCTCAAGCTTGAACTCACCCACTCCTCCGACCACCAGGAGCTTCCCAAAGAACAGCAGCAGGTCCGTCACTTTATCGAGCACCACCACCCTACAGGGAGCACAGAATCATCAAACATGCTGATATTGTCATGTTTCAAACAGAGACTAAAACTCCTGAACAGGATTAATAGAAAAGAAGACTTCAGCACTAACCTTATTATATTCCTCATGAGCAGCTTGAAGGCATTTTTGGCAGAGACGCAGAAGTTTTTCCCATAAACAGCAATCTGTGAAGAAACAAAAAACTTGTTATTGACAGAAAAACAAACATTACTTTAGGAGTGATCTCTGAGCATCATACAAACTGTGCAGTGGTGGAAAAATGAGGTGTTGCTTATTAGATTTTTTTGTGAAGTTACCAGAAAATAGTTTTGTAATTCATAGGATTTCGAGACCACTTTTTGAACGTCTCTTTTGAAGGAATCAAAAAGCTTTTTTACTCGGTCTAGTCTCGGTTTCAGATGGGACTGACTCCAGATTTTAAATCAAGACCAGGCAAGACCACCACTGATTATTTGTCTGATTGATTATATGTATTTACTGCCATAAGAAGCATAACACCCCTTTCTAAAAGAAGAAATAACTTCAATTAATTTGTAGTTTTTTTTATCCCCTGGTTACGGCTGCGACTTTCCCAGTGTTACGCACTAAATGAGCGACACACGCCTGCGCACAAGATGAGGATTTTTCTGTGATATTCATGGTCTTGGTCTCGATCCCTAAATGTCTTGGTCTTGTCTCGATCTCGGAGCACTCTGGTCCCCGCTGTCCAAAACTGTCCAATACCTACGTTATATACATTGACTCACCATAATGTAAGCGTTCCTGTTGAGAAACTTGATGAACTTCTCCAGACACCAGAAGCAGCACTTCAGGCAGCACATCAGGAAACGAGCCACCGGATTCTGAGCCGCTATAGGGGGAAAAGAAACAACATCAAAGTGTTTACTGTGATCAGACAGAACACCACATGACATGCTGCCAATACCCACAATAATGAGGGAAGTTTTCATGTTTTCATTCTCTCTCCTTCTAATGTTTCCTGTCTCTCCTCAGCTGTCCTATCTAATAAAAGAAGAAAAAAATGCCCCTCAAAGAATAACTAAAAGAAGTTGTTAGAGTTGCTCCGTCTCTATGTAAAGATCTCTTATAGGAAATAAAGCTGCTGTGATCCTAACAAACTAAAACAAAGGGAGCAGA